CATTCAATATTCAAACTACCAGAATTCTGCTATTTCCCTGCATTATAGAAAGTTATCTAAGAGTTCAAATATTTATTCTTTTTTCATCTGACCTCTGGATCTGGAAAGGCAAGAGCTAATTGTAAGCAATATTATACTATGACTTGTTTCTTTAGCGGTGGTCTGCAGCCCATTTGGAAAAAAAATTAAAATATTTGTAATTGGTGAACTCCTATTAAAATTATAATCTGATTTTATGTTGAAGATAACAGTATTAGTGCTTCCCCAATATCCTTATTTCAGCAAGCTTTTTTTGGTTAGAAATAAGCATAAATCACTTCCTACCACTGTCACAGAATATTTTCGTCAGGTTGATGCAGTATTTGCAAATAAGATGTACTATTTTCCCCTTGCTTTCCATATAGAATTAAAAAGAGCAGAAGTGAAAAACAAAAAAGCTTTTTTTTTGTCTTTCACTCATCTTAGTCTCTTTGTCAACTGCTTTCCCAAAATATAGGTGCTGTTACTGAAGTTCACAATCAGTTCTGACACATTCCTAATCATAATATTATTAATTAAATAAAATATAAGTTTTAAATTCATGTCTTACTCATCCTCAGAACCCAGAAAACATGACATTATTATTCAGCCTAATGTCTAATATTAATTGCAGAACAGCCTTTTACATGGCTGGACATGAAATTTATCTAAAATATCACTTACAAGAGTAAAAGATGGAGAAAGAAAGATCCTATTTTTTCGGGGGGTGTTTATTCAGGATTTCTTTATAAAAATAAAACCAACACATTCTTTTGCAGCCTCAAATTTATAGCATTCTAAATATGGTGATTCACCTTCTTAAATCATCAGGGAAAAGAAGTGAAGGAATTTTCTATGATAATTAAAATAAATTCATTCTAAAATGCAAATAAGCCGCCACCTTACATCAGCTTGAGCAGCTAAGTGCACCTGTGGCAGACAGCAAGCCCATAAACTTTAAATATCGAGATTTAGACAAGTGAACCAGTGCTTGTTATTCATGAAAGTTTCTCTAGGTGGAGCTCTAGGTCAAACATCCTTCAATACTTCATCGTGGTAATTTTGGAATTTGCTTTAACGTCCTCAGTCCACTGCATCTGTTGCTACAAAATGAGGTGCAGGAACTGCACTGACTTTATTTTTTTGTCACATTACATTCACTGCTTATGTAAAAACGCAATTGTCATGAATGACACTTGTCATGAAAACATGATGAGGGGATTAAATACAAAATCAGAGAAGCTGTCAACCTAACAGGACTGCTGTTTAATGGCATATGAAGACATATCAGATTTGTCATGGTTTACATTTTAGTTAGCTGTGCCATAATGCTTCTGCACTGAAACTTCTCAATAGAGTCTAGAGGACTCCCTGGTTTTAGGGTGCTGTTGGGTTTGGGGTTCCTATTTTGCTTCATGGATAATTCCTAGACAGTAAAAATCAAAAAGAAAAGAAAAAAACCCTTATGTTATCATTCTGTATCTTTTTCTTATACAGCGGTTCACATATCTATGAACTTGTTTTTCATTCAGAATAACATTAAACATTATATTCCTGGAAGGTTTCTGTAGGAATAGTGCAAGGGAAAATAATATCACAGACACCAGCTACCACTGAAAAAAATAAAAAAACAAAAACACTCTGCTCCACAGGAGAGAAGGGTGAAAGAGAAAGTGAAGTGCAGTAATGTACTATCCATGGTGCATAAAAATCAGCAAGTTCACTCAATTATTAGCTCACATTTACTCCTATAAACGTTATCTTTTCATTGGTTCTTGAAATCTGGTTTCTTAAACAGCCAACTTCTCTATTTGGGTCAGTCTATTGGGTAACGACACTTGCTGGATCTGTTGTATTTGCTTCTCTTTTTTTGTCTCTGAGAGATGAGGGAACTGAGAGAGAATGAAAATCGCTTTGCTTTATAAAATAATTATTTTGCTACTATGTAAAATTGAGTCCTTGCTGAGTCCTTAGTCTAATTGCTACATAGTGTACCTCTGCCACATGAAGCCCTAGAAAAAATAAGTAACTTATTATGATATTCCTGGAACATTTTAAACCATGAGTGCTTAAGCTTGTAGGTACTTTATACATTTACATTTATTTTTTTTTTTAATCATGTGAAAAAAACCAGCCACAACGAAGCAGGGGAGACAGGACTCTTTACTTTGCTCAGTAGTTTTGGTTTAAGTCAATCAAGAATAGGGTATAACAATGCCTTAACCCTGATAGCTGGGTACTCCAGAGCTCAGAATGCACCCTCAGGCCCTCTCAGTGCTCGGACAAACTAACACAATCAGGAGCTATGGAGAAAAACTCAGTCCAGCATAGACAACAACAACAGATGACCCTAAGTAGCAAAAGAATTACACAGGATGGCAAAATGCCTCAAATTGTAAACCTTACTTTAAAAAAAGTTTAAATACATACCTCTCCCGTGTTCTGTTCTGTATGGGAGGTTATTCCTCCATAACTCATGCTGTCTACTTCCCAAGACTAAATGAATAAGAGCAAATAGAAATCAATAAAAACTAAACCTATACACAGCAAATGCAGAAGGCATACTGGGGATAGACATATGAAAATGGGAATACTTATTCTCAGGTGAATATCTGAGTCACTTCACTGTGAAGTTATACTTTTTCTCTGCTTTTGTGGATCTTTTCTTCCATGCAGTATCAGCTTTATCAGGACCAGTGGAAAATAAACCTCTCAAGCATGAGTGCTATGAGTTGACAGCCCAGTGCTAAGTTAAAAGATGAGAATTTGAACTTGTACTTTAAGGCAGGAAAGAACATTAATCTTTCTTTCACCTCTTTTTTTTTTGTTTGAAATCTAGGTTGGAAAGAATATACAAAGAGTGAGTTTAAAAAATTATTGAAATCTCTGGGTTAAGCTTTCTTTTTTAATTATGCACTACATGTGATGAGAGAATTGACAGCACGAGAAACTTTTCAATTCCTTCTATTAATCAAAGCAAGAAAGAGTTAAACTGTTTTGGAGGTGAAATTAAGTGCTATTTAGGATTGTAAACCTAAAGAGGCCCTGAATAACTAAGCCATCACAGGAAGTAGGGATAGGTGAAGCACATGAAAGAATTGTTTGAAAAAAAATACATCTGCAATAGATAAAAGCTTCTAAACAAGAGCAGCTGTGATTTTTATTTTACTTCATCTCCTCTAAACTGATGAATACCTAACAGACAATTCATTGTCCTGTAAGAATCTCTCTAACAAAAATCAGAATGCTGTGGTTGGGATTCACTTTGTTTTTCAGGTACAAAACCACATGAATTAAGCACATAGTAAAGTTCAAGCCAGCTGGGGCACCACCTACAAAATTTAGTAACTGTTTGTCATGTGCAAACAGAGACACTTCAAAGGAACAATGACTTCCACAACAAGTATGCACACACCCTAAGCCATCAGTGTGCAGTAGGTCTACACTATTCACAGATGAAATCTCATTGTTCTGATTTTAACAAGCTGAAGAGTAAAGGTGTATGTTTGAAATCTAACTTTGCATCTGAATCAGAAATACTCTCAGCATTTCACTTTTTAGCACCTTTACAGAAGTTTGCATGGGCAGTGATTTGTGGGTATTCAATAGCACTGTAATTCTCAAGCAAAAGAAGACAAGGATGCAATATCAGATGTGTGTTTTAAGGTGAAATTCTTTCTAATGTGCTCTCACTAACCACTGATGAGACAGACAGATTTGAAAGGTACCAGGATTAATGAAAAGCTGTGCAATATACAGAGTCAGACTTTTCCAGCTCATGTTCTGAAGATTTGAAATTTCATGTAATATACATAACATATATATTTGGTATGCAGGAATAAAAACATGATCAGAACTGCTTGAAGGAATGATTGGTCAATTGCCTAAGTAAAAAAATTAGAAGTCTAGCTTGAGACAACCCCCAGGGATTGTGTTGCTAAACATGGATTAACATTCTGGTAGCATTTGTCTGACTCAAAGGACAATGATAGCAAATAATTGGATACAAGAGGAAATTGCTATCTTCTCATGACTGAGATAATGATTTTTGGATGGACTATGAAGTGGACAACTTCAAAATTAATCAGACAGAAACAAAAATTTGTTTCAACCTTAAGTATATAAAAGTTTTCCAAGCAGTATTTAAACTGAATGGCAAATGTTGTACCAAGAGAATAGGAGGGCATCTGTTTCAACCCTAAATTCTGCAATACTTTCAACTATATATGAAAGATCACAATCGAAATATATCAGAAGGCAATATACTTATCCACATTTTCTTATATACAGGTACATCTAAAACCTTCCTCTTTACTCAGATACCCTTTCAAATCTTTATCTCAGGTTTCCAACAGATACTACCACAAAGAAATTACAAATTTTTTATAATTTCTCAGGCTCCAAATTGAATAACTGAGTGCATAAGTAAATATGTATTCACATTAAGACAAGACAGATTTGATAATACTGCTTATGCAGTGTATATTTTTCCTCCTCTACCCCCTCCCCTCTAAAGTATGATAGTTAACCAACATATCATCCCTTTGGATTGTCTGACATTATAGACTGGAAACAAATGAAATCAAACAATCAAGAAGAGAGTCCACAAAACCCCAAAACCAAAACACAAAGCAGTAATTCATTTAACTTTCTATGATTCATAGCAGTTAAAGATATTTATCCTACCTAAAGGACAGTTGAAAATCAATATGAGCCTTAGCAACATACATTTTTCGTTTCTGCTAAAATAGTGTACTACTTTCAATCACAGGACAGTTGAGGTCCAAAGGGACCTGTGGAGGTTGTCTAGTTCAATCCCCCTGTTCAAAGCAAGGTCACCTAGAGCACGTTTCTCCTGAGCCATGTCCAGCTGGGATTTGGATATTTCTAATAATGGAAATTCCATAACATCTCTTTGGAGTCTATACCAGTTTTCTATCATTCTCACAGTAAGGAAGGGCTTTTTACATTTAGGTGGAATTTATTTTATATTTGTGACGATTGCTTCTCACAGGAGAATAACTGCCTGTTACTGGATGCTACTAGGATGAGTGTGGCTTCATCCTTATTTCACCCATCAGATGTTGATAAACTCTGCCCTGAGCTTTTTCTTCTCAGCCTCAACAGACCCGGTTCTCAGCCTCTCCTTGTTTGACAGATTCTCCATTTCAAGGGAAAGAATGAGACAGTGTCACTTGTTTCTTACAGTGGGCCTGGACAAGAGGAAAAATAAAGGAAGAAAAAGAGCATGGATTTCAGATTCAAATTAGGACAGACTAAACCAATTAAATGTAGGTGTATTCCTTAGATGGTCTACATGTTAAAGCTCCCATCATCATTAGTGAAAATGTAGAATTTAATCCATATTAATATATTAAAATATCCAGATACTAGTTTCTTTCAATTTTCTGCTCTGTTTAGGCCTACCTGTACATCTCGAAGAGTCAAGAATGGGATACTCTGTACTGCAGTGATACAGTAGGATACACACAGGCAAGGAAAGGCTAGAAGGAAGGTAAAAGATGGCCATTTCAGTATAATTAAGGCAGCAAGGAGAACAATTCACTTCTGATTCAGCCAAGTATCAGGAAGTTGTTTCTGTTGCTTAGACTCTGACTGAAAACTGATGTCTTGGCTATTAACAAGTTTATTACTTTAGGTTGATCTTATTTTAATGAAAGATAATATATTTATTATTTTTATTATTTTTAACATCATAATATTTGTCTTACTACCCCAGTTCAATAAAGTTAAAAGACATCAGTTGACGACAAAACTACAGTGGCTAAAATGTTATTAAAAATAAAACAAAGTTTGCGGATAAAATTTAGATGTTCATTCATTGGACATATAGGGTTGTTTCTTTTTTTATTATTTTTATTTTTTTTTTAATCTCTCTTGCAGTATATTCTATGCATTTGTTCTCCTCCTATCAATTAATACAGAAATGCATCATTGATAAGTTTTTTTAGGACAAAAAACATACAATGTACAATGGCATTATAATCCAGAAAAAGGTGATCAGTCTTCTTGGAAATATACAGTATATTTTTAAAGGTTTGCAAAAGTTCAGTACATGCGTTGCTCTGACTTTACATCTTAAGGGGGTGTTCACAAGTTGATCTCACTTTTTAATGGTCAAAACTGCTGTCAATTCTTATAAATGACCGATAATTGGTCAGGAGAAAAGAAAAGACTCCCATCAGCCCCCAGCAGCTTCAACTTCCTTAGCTCCCAAAGCCATCTTAAAGGTAAAGTCACCCCATGACAACATGTCACGTGTCAATCGCAATACTTGTTCTGGTGTAATGGCAAGCAGCAATATGAAATGATTAATTAACTTTCAGTAAATTCATCCAAGAGCAATCCTTTTAGTAATTTTTCTTCCAATAAAAACTAAAGAAATTAAATTCAAAGATAATGTTGGCCATTTTACTGGTCGTTGTAATAAAGAACTTATTTTGAGTCACAAAAATATTTTTGTGTGGTAGATTCTATATACTAGAAATAACAGCTATTATTTATATTTAGCAAATTTTGAAAAGGTGGTTGCTATCCTTTTTATTGCTAAATTCTCTTGAGAATTTGTCTTACATTTAGTAGATTCACATAACTTTATTCTTATGTTCTTATGTTGGCTTAGGATATCATTACAGAAAACACTTGTTAGTCTAATAAATTAGGACTGCTCATAAATCTTACCCTTTCACATTGTAGAAAACTACAACACAGTAAAATTTACAGGTTTGACTTAAATTACATTTTAAAATTGTTATTTCTTTTTTCACAAAATAAGTGCATGATTTGTGAGGTAAAGCATTCTTGACAAATTAATGCAGTTTTATATGTTTGTCTGAACATTTTATTTGTTTATATTTCTTTCACCTAATATAGGCTTGGATTTATATGACAATGTAGTTTAAATCAAGATAAAAGAAGTAAGCCAAAGGGCAGTACTGTCAGGCTATAAAGAAGGTAACAAAAGGTTTTAGAAATAAACTTGACACAATTCACAGATATTTTGTTCTCAAGTGTGTGTTACACAGATTATTGGAATTTCAGAGGAATATATTTAAAAACCTAAACGACCAAACTGAATGTTAGCAACATCCTGTTTACATTTCTATACAGTTTTATAATTTGTGGGCTCTGAAAATTCCTCTCTTGTTTTCTACTAAGAGCTTCCTCTTCAGACATAATTTTGCACTCAACAAATAAGAATTCTATGGGTCACTGATAGTCTAACCAACTATTGATTATGGAAGTTAGGTTGGCTTCCTGGCTTTCTTTCTAATGACTTACTGTGAATTTCATTAATTCTCATTCTAATAGGCAACCTTCAAACAATATTTAATCACTTTCATTCCCACCTACCAGTGCAGTCTTTCTTTGTACTTCATCCCATTGGACATTCACAATGAGGCATATCAGTATTTGATTAGATATAAAAAGTCCTGAGTAACTGAATTATTTTCAGGTATTTATGTACATACTTTGTTATCACTAGCAAATGCTAGACTGAAATTCAGTGTTTTCCTTATGTTTTTGAGGGAGCATAAGACATACACAGGAAAGAACAGTTTTTCTGATTTCTGGTTCAGTGTTTTGGCCATGAGCCTATAACTGTGTGGTCCAAACATACACAGAGCTCAGACTACAGAGTATTTCAGCTAAAACCAATTTAGCTTTGCATGAGCTAGTCTTAGGAAAAAAATAGAGAAGTTTGGGCAGTTTCTTGGCTTATCACAGCCTGACATACTCTCGCATCTGAATAGACACTATCTCATCTTATTTTCAGAAAACTTAGGTAACTTTACTCTGTTACTGTACTATCCAGTGCAGACAACACCGAGGAAAAGTTGGGAGAGCATCAGTAGAAATCTAGACTACAAAGTAAACCCTAACTTTATGGACAATGCTGAATTTTATTAGTTCCTTTCCTTCACAGCTATGGTGAAAAAAACCCACAATGTTTTCATCAAGTCTTCCCAATGCTATGCGTTCCTCATAAAGTTCCCTTTCCTCCTAAAAGGCCTGAACTGCCTGTATCTCTTCTGGAGATATCTCCTCGGAGATTTGCTACAGACAAGCAAACAGATTTATGGACTAATCACTGGATTTATGGACTATAATCAAATTCTTATATGCTGAGTATTTCTGGACACAAGCTACTTGTTCTCAGCAATGTACAAACATGACACAATGGATGATAACTACAACTATATAAATAATCATAATAATAAGCACTGGGAGTGACTATGATGAGGGATGTATAAATTTCTGTCAGCCAGAAATTAAATTTTCTGACTTTAATAGTAGATTTCAGAACTTCTCCTCCAGTTCTGTTTTCAAATTGTGAGGTATGATACCCAAGAGGGTCACAGGAGGATTCAAAGAAGATTATAAAGTGTTTATACTAATTGGGTAGCATTAATTACCCAGCTGTTTCCAGCAATTAAAGGCAGTTAGCTGTTCCCAGGCTAATGGTACACTTGTAGAAAATAATTAGAGCAGCTTCTTGTAGCACCTAAACAACAGCCCTATGTTTTGAGAGGGAAAAGAGCAAGAGGTTTCATGTGACTATATTTTGTCTTCAAAAATGGAAGGAACTTGAAGGGATTTTTTTGTCAGCAAAAAACACAGAAAAAGGTGACCTTCTGCTAAGAAAAGTAATGATAGTGATGTTACCTTTTCTAAAGCTATGTATGTTGATGTGAAACTCTAGTCTGGATTTGTTCGCACAACTAATTCCAACCGGCTTGTAAAAGCAGTTTCCTTTGTACAAGCATATTCAGGTAACAAAATTCTTTTTTACTTCTCTTTTTGGAGAAATACTTTAGTTTAATCTAAAGTCTAAATTTAATCTAAGTTTAATCTAAAGTCTATTACAACTTCTGTAACATAAAATCTAAACATGAAGACTCTCCAATAAACCAAATTCGTTGTGAAGATTTATGAAGTATAATTAAATGAGAGAAAAGTTTAGATATCATTTAATTTTCTAGTCATTTTGGTAATGCAATCTCTTGTGCCATTTAAATGGTATTTACAGAACTTTCCATTATGTGATGTAGAAATCAGATATTCAATCTCCTATTTCATGTGGGATCTTAAAGTGATATTCAGTTTTAATAATTATAATTTGTTCTCCCAGTGACAGTTACTACAACAGTAAATAAGTACCCAGTACAGTGGCTTCTGCTGAGATATAGCAAAATGTTTAAGTGGCATTTGTGTTATTCTGTTATCCTGGATCATCATATTCTTGAAACCTGCTAGATGTTCAACCATCTGAAAAATGAAGGGAGCTCTCTAGGGTTCTAGTTCTCAGCATGTGCAGGATGACAGTATTGAATTCAGCACATTGCAGGTCTAAATAAATATTCTTTCACTCTTTTCTCACAGACATTTTAAAAGTGCCTAACGCCTGCCAATAACAGGTACAAGCAATTTCACTTATGGAGATAATGCTGAACAGGTTTTACACAATAAAATACCCATATGTAGTGCCTAGGCTCAGTTTCCTCTTCTTTCTCTGCTGCATCTGCCATGTACATGTCCTAACAATCTGCCTGGAGGCACTGTCTGCACACTTCCAGTTACTTTGATTGAACTGTTGAATTAAGATTCATTCATTTCATAGCCCAATGAGTGACCTATTTACTTTGAAAGCAGGAGTCTCAAATTCTGCTTCTTCTCCTCTGTTCCTGTTTCTGGATTAGTTTCTCAGCTCCAGCAATATAAAACCGATCACTATGTACAAGGTATTGAGTACAACCATTTCTGACAAAACAAATCAACAAGAAAACAGAAACAAATACCAAACAACAATAACACACTCTTTTAAAATTAAAGAAATAAATTATAATTTAAATTCAGAAGGGGATTAAGGGCTGTAGTCTCAGTTTACAGCACTGATCTCTCCTATGTTTGCAATTATGAAATTTCTAAGGAATTGTAGCTACCATCTTCTACCTAATGAATAACTGAACCACCCTTTTTCTCAGGAAGGCTACTATTAAAAAAGTGGCAAAGTGACTTGATGGAAATACCAAGTGTCTCAAAAGACTGATTGCTGAATTCTGTACCAATTCAGAAAGGTATCTGTATCCTGAAGTTAAAGAGCTTTCCATGGAAGTCACTAGACTCCTATCCTGTGTCCATCAGGAGGCCTTTTGCAAATTCTACAAATATTAGGATCATGTGTCCTTTGACAGATGTAGGGAGAATCCTGAGAAAACCTTCTTGCACATTTACAGAGATCCTTCCAGCACTTTCTCACGTACCACATGCAGCTGCCGCATCCTGTCATGACTATGTGTGCTGGGAGCTGTATCAGAGCAAAACCAGACCAGATCAAACCTCCTATGGTTATGTCCATGCCTATGCCAAGGTTCTGGATCATAGGTACAAAGAGAAATATCAAGTCTGGGTGAATGATACGAGGTGGTCAAGCCAAAACTGGTGCGACAAATGCTTTGAATTGGAGCCTTCTGATCTACAGAGGATGCCTTCACCAGAGCTTTCGGTCCTACTCTTTCCAAATGAGGGACACTGCTGTCCTAGTCTCCCCCCCCAAATTAAACACAGCATTCCTAGCAGATGGATCCTCTCAGTAACTCCACAGTGTGGACTGCCTTACCTAGGACCCAAGGTGTTGTTACTGTCTTCATTTGTGACACAACAAAGTGGATGGTCTTTAAAATAGATCAACATTCTATTTTGCATGGAAAGGGAATTTTAACTCCCCAGAAAAAGAAGACATACTGTGGGCTCATACACGAGCAGGCCTACTGAGTGGTAATAACTCTGTGCAGTGTGATGACCTTCACAATAATGGGCTAAAGTTTGATTTCTCTATGAAGTATTTACTACTAGTGGTCTGACTAGCATGGCACTGTTCAGTGGATGTCTTGACCTAAAAATCTTTTAGAATATAAATGTGAATTAGATTGTGAATAGAAAATGAAGACAAAATGAGAAAAAAAAAAGTAGAATTCCATTGTCTTGAAAATAATTTTATTTTTCTCTATGAAGCTAAAGGACAAGTTTTAGATGACTTTCTTTCCAGAGAAACTGAGAATAGGTCTAATGGCATATACACATACACAGAGTTGAAAACAATGGTAGTTTTATGAAAACCACAAAGGATTGATGTATTATGCTGAACTACTAAAGCCTTCACTTTCTGAGACTGAAAATTCAATTTTCCCTAAAAAAAAAAAAGAATAATTAAATGGAAATTACTGAAAAATAAAACTTAGGTGGAATACTGATTCCAAAAGGACGTCATAATGCAGAGGACCAGATTTTACTCAAGACTTTTACTCAAGAGATGATTTTTCTCTCAAGAGTGATGGAGTCACAAAGTGATTTTGCTCAAGGTGGTTTTGCCTGAGATGGGCAAACACAGAGCGGTTGGAACATATGAGAAAAAGCCTGTACTAATTAGAGCCAAAGAAAAACAGTCTTCCAGATGACTTACATGGACATTTTATGAAGCAAATTAATAGCAGGTAGGAGAAAAATTCTGAAGGAAAACAATATTTGAATTGAGAACTCTGCTTGTCCTTTATTAATTTATTTTTGTTGCAGTACTCAAACCTACTCAAAAAAGGACATTCCAGTGTTTCATCATCCCTAATGTCAGCAAGATTAATATTGCCCCAATCCATTCCCAGTGTCTTGTATTGCTCAAACCATATCTGTCAATTTTATTCAAGAAAACGGATTTCAGCAACATGATACCAACACCACACCTATTCCTCAGGGAGCAAGAATGTCTATGGATTTCACAGCATGTTAGCATTAGTCTGTTGGACAGGTTCCCTCCTTTTCTCTCTTTATAAGCAGTAGCAAGATTTCAGTTTGTCCTGGGGCTACTAAAAGAAATGAAAATAAACTTACATCAGATGTTTAAAATCAGGAAATAGAAGTAGTGCTTAAGTCAGAAAATATTAATACAAATTTACCATGTGAAGCATCATTCAGGGAAATAAAAGCAGACAAACATCAAAATACTCTAGATTCAGATTTTCTATTATATTCTGAACATATTCCATTATGGCTCTCTTTATGTTTTCCAGAGTGCCTTGTCTTTGGAAAATAATAACAAACCCTCTCACAGACTGTCTGCTAATGCACAAAACTGGTCTCTTTTCCAGTTTCTCAGCTCTTGCAGCACTCTAGCTTCAGTAAATGGACTAGCATGCTGTTTTTTGGAACAAAATGTATTGCCATCAGATGCTTACCAGATGTCAAGCATAAGTACCTCATTATCGATAAGATTAAAAATATATCTTGAGCATGCAAAAATCTATGTTTGAACTTTCTGAATATTACATACAATCATTAAAGATTTAAAAATAGGAATACGGAGAGTGTTTTTAGGCCACCTTCTCACCATTACTGAGATCAACCATCAGCAGAAATGTTCTTCAAGCAATATTTTTAAGTTGTTTTTTTTTTTTTAAACAGTAATATGTTATATAATTTTGGTCAGCTATATTTATCCAATTCTGCAAATCATGGAGAAGAAAATTCATGTCAATGCTGTTGTACTTGGGCAAACCTCCTACACCATGCTAGGCCTATGATCTTTGAGGTTTTACAATCGAAGGAAGCATCCCACAGATCCTTAGATCAACATTACACACTTTATTATATTATTCACAGTCAAGTTACTCAATTAGAAGTCTTTCTTAGGATACAAAAGGAAATTTTAAAGTAGGTTCTTCAGTGAGAGAATTCTCTAAGAGTGAAATTTTCAAGTAATTACATAATTTAGGAACACCTTTTCTGTTGACAAAAAATAAAAAAACTTCATAGGAAAATCCAGAATTATTAAGCTACAACAACTTCTCCTGTTCATGAATTGGATTGGTTCTGTCCTACTACAATGGATCAGTTTGTGATTATCACAATTATTCCAAAAATAGGGAAAATTAAATATTATAATTCATTTGAAAAAGTAATATTCATTATGTAAAAATAACTACTGGATATGAAAATTTTAACAATTATTGTGCTATTGGAAAATAAACAGAATTTAAAAAATGTTCAGAAAAACACAGCACATTTCTTATATGTGATAACATTCTATTTGATTTTCTTGTACCTCTCTTTTCAGGGTAGATTGTAATTGCTTATAGCTGCAAGGCTGCAGAGACTTTATTGTTATACAATTTGTAACTCTTTTTTCAACTGAAATATAAAACTACTTCAAAGGGGAAAAAAACTTCCAAAAGTTACTTTAAAATTTTCCATGCTGCCAAGACTCTGATTCTATTGGAGAAAAATGCAAAAAAATTTAAAAATGTTTGTGAGTGTCAGCAGTATCATAGGGTTATAAAGAAGGCTTATTTAACAAGACACAGGATTACATGAAGACAGTAAGGTACGTCACCCTGAAAACTCAGCTTCTGAGCCTCCTGACATAGTTTTTTAAGACTTTTCCAAGACAGTAATTGTAAACATAGATATGTGTACATTCTTTCTGTTACATGTCTTTTGATGAACTTCTCTCATGGCCAGTGCAGGGGGAAAGTGTTATCCTGACCATCCAATCCCTGGCCATGGTCAGAAACCCATAAATCCTGGGAGGAAATATAAACTCTCTCTTCTTTTCACCACACCTCGACCTTTGTCCGTGTGATCTATTCATCTTCAGCAGCAACAAAGGTGAACTATGCTCTGTACACTATGCTAAGATTCCATGTGGTTAAAAAATAATTTAACTCATTACTAATCAAATGAGAGCAGGATAAGGAGAAATAAGAACAAATCTTAAAAACAACTTTCCCCCATCTCTCCTTTCTTCCTGGGACCAGTCTCACTCCTAATTTCTCTCCTTCTCTCCCAGGTGTCACAGGGGAACGGGGTTTCTTGACAGTAGCTGTGACTTTGAAGTTTAGCAGATGTAATATAAATTTTTTCAATGTTTTTTCACCTTGAATTAACTTTTCACATTTTTTCATGATGTTATGCCGTGTTCAAACATTCATTGTGTCAAACTATCCTGAAATAATTTCATGTTAGTACTTTGTAAGATGACGATATTTATAATTTGGAAAAAGAACATAAATTTGTTGTAAAAACATTGCCCAAAGCAAACTGAGTTGCACTATTTCTCTTTAAATTTGATAAAAAATTTTGTCTGTTGCAATTGTTTTATGCTGTAGGCTATAGATTTTTTTGTGCTTCCTCTGACTGCCACATGATTTATGATCCAGATCTTTCAAGATTATAAAAAGAACTTGTCTCACAAATTATTTTAGTTTTAAAAAAAACTGAGTGGGAACAAGGTTTGGGTCAATCACCACACAGACTCTCAGAAGAATTTATAAAAACTGACACAGACAGCTCTGTACGTGATGGTCTGCAAGGAAGTTATAACCTTAGTTTAAAGAGTTGACAGAAGATCAGAAAGATTTTCTTCTTTATTTTTTTTTTCCCTTTGAGATAACTCAGTTTTTCTTTTCATACCATATACAGCTACAGTTACCTGTTGTCCTAGGGTGACTTTATGATGTTGGTATCATAAAGGTGGTATAAAAAGCTGCTGAAAATTGTTCTTGAAAATGCCAACTCAAAAGTCTGAAATACATTTGATGCCAATACTACAAAATTTTATCAAACTTCAAAATATAAAGTTATGAAACTTTATGTCAAATGAATCCAAAACATTCATTGAAAGTGGAAAACTTGTTTTAGCATGTGAAAAACATCCAGAAATATGAAGAAAGCTTTTCTATTGCTATTGCATTTAGTAGTATCACTTTTTAAAGCAAAAATTGTATTTTTTTGCTTGTAGTTTTTATTTTTATTTGTGGGTTTTTTTGTTTGTTTGTTTGTTTGTTTGTTTTTTATTTACTACATAACTTTCCTTAGAAGGAAAGGAGGAAGGGAAAAAGTCAGTAAGATTAAATATTGAATCATGGGGAATTTATGCTGGAAGGAAGACTTACTGAGATTTGTGAGCATATGAAAATTCTTCATCTTAAAAGAAAGATCTGGTATAATCACAGTTAAAATTTATTGACTGTGACTGCTAAAGGGGTCATATTTCCTAGTTTTCTCTGGAGTGTTGATGTCTCTATTCCTTGGCTTACTTAGAAATAGGAGTTGGGACTCATCAGGGTTATGCCCACTTTTGCCCTCAAACTCACAAAACTGAGACATCTGAGAACTAATACAGCAGAAATCTGGAAATTTCCTCTCAAAACTGTTCAAAAAATGTGAAGCCCATTCATCTGGATTTGTATTTCTAAAGGAATTTAGGTTAACTCTACAGTCCCTTCCAAATTTGCAATTATCTCAATTATCCATTAAAACAGACATTTTGTCAGTATCATTCTGGACAGATGTAATTCCTATGATTTTAAAAATGTCATCTATAATACACAGCAGAATGTTTTTTTATCTTAAGAACAGTGGCATGATACAGCACTGGAAAAAAAAAAATTGGTCAAGCAATTAAACCTTGCTTGTTCAAATGTAATGATGTGCTGAAATTTAGCATTATAAAATCTTGAATGATTTGGTTGTTAATGGGAGAATGGCATTTCCCCTATCTATGATGATCCTTAGTGCCAGTCATCTGTAACCT